GTTTTTTTGTGCTGGCCCCTTCCCGGGTACCGTGTCTGCTGAGCTACCATGTACGGAGCCCCGTGGGGCCTTTTTTTTTGCTTTTTCCACCGCGTGCAACCCGGGTGTAACGACTACGGCATTCACGACTATGAGTACACCCCCCCCCAACCAATCGAACCACTGCCACAAAGTATAGCCATTTTTCAAGCGGCTGTATAAATCCTCTCGATGCAGCAGGCGAAAACAAGTCAATATGGCAGAACACGAATCCCAGGCCTTCGCAGGAACGAAAGCCAAGAGGTAGGAAGGTCCTTTCTTCAGGCACACATTTCGCGTCACCCCTCCTACCCGCATGCATGTACTAAGTTCGTACGCCGGCGCGATTAAATATTGCTTCTTGATTCTAATGTTGTTATTGTTGTTGTTGTTGTTGTTGTTGTTGTTGTTGTTGTTGTTGTTGTCAGGTACCGTTTCCTCGCTGGCCCCGAAGAGAGAAAAGACGGAATCACGTGCAACGAGGCCGTCCATTTTTACCAGCTTGCAGTGGATGAGCTCCGCCTGGTGAGCGCCGGGCTAAGATTAAATTACTCCTTGTTCACACGGATGGGATGAATGTATTCTCCTGTATTTTTGTTGCACCGTATGGTTGTACAGAAGTCTTAAGCTAGCGTGCTGAGCAGACTCGAACGTATGTGCCACGGGAGGGGTGGGGCTATCTGCTGCTGCTGCTGCTGCTGCTGCTGCCGCCGCTGCCGCAGCTCCTGTTGTTTTCGTTAGCTTCAGCGTTTTGCAGTCGAGGTTGGCTTTGCCGCTGGTGCAACGATCGGACGTCGGCCTCCCGACCCGTGCTCCCGTGCCATGTGTGTCTGACTCCTCGAACACGTGGCCCTAAGCAGCCACACATCCGAACACGTTCACACCACGATCCTGCTGTTGGCATAGATTGGATATTCCACTGCTCGTGTGGTGTCCTGCTTGTTAGCCACAACCATCGCCGGCGTCCCTCCGTCAAACGCCAATCCTCGCCTCTTGCCTCCC